TTACATAACACAAATCCAACAAATCACTAAATAAACTTCACTTATGTGATGATTATTACAAATAGTGGCTCAATGAATCGAGATAGATCATGCTTTATAACAATGAATAATATAGCTAGTGTCATATATACAAGATGAAAAATCAATCAAATTCGTACTCTAAAGTGGCATTTTGGACCCATTTAACGGCGGATACTATGAAAAGAAATACGACTGAACATATAATTGACGCAATAGAATCGAATATTAAATTAAAAATACTAATTAAGTAGATCGGATAAAATTAATCAAATGCATAAAAAGAGAAATATAGGTGTTGCAAGCTAAGCAGTGTATAATTTGCTTTATTCCCGTTATCAAGCCATGGAACTTTTTTAATTATTCCATTCGTACACACTTTTATAAAATTACCAATAAATATCACTTTTTATTTATTTGTCTAAATCACGTTAGGATAATTACCAATTTACACGTAAAATGAAAATAGTTGCCAAATAATCATCCACCACCTCACCATACAGGTAGAGATATATGTTCTATTCGAATCAATGAGACAAGAGTCCATTATTTGGTCAACAATTAGTGACTCTTTCTTTTTTTCAACGCATTCTTCATTAACTTAAACTTGTATCATATAAAAAAAGAAATTAAACATCCTTTTAAATTTCCACAACATAAATTAAACGCAATAAAAAATAGAACAGATAAATCATCATCGCGAAAAATGGACAGCAGATCCGAAGAAGGCCTCAAATGCGTCAAGATCGTCTTTACGGCTAAGCCGGAGACTATTGGTGTAGTCACTTTAAATCGTGATTTTGAAAGAATACCCATACCTCCGAATTTTTTCATGACGGTTAAGAAATTGATCGGATTTGAATCCGAGAAGAACCTTACTCTCACCAAGAAAAGGAAAGGATTTGAAGAATTAGTGACTCTATATTGTAAATTTTACACATGAAAATCATGTATTAAATATGCATGTATATATGTGGATATGTGTGTGTATTATTATTATACAATCAGTGTATGAAAATTGAGTGGTGATAGAGGGGACCCTCAAATCTAATGGAAGCATCGGGCGACTCAATAATTTTAGCTTCGCGATTAATTACCTTACTATTCTTTTGGGACAAATTTTTATTTTATTATTATATTGTTTGTCCTCAATTTGTCTATATGCTATTTTTGTTATAAAAGAAAAAATACATTACGTCAAAGACAAACTTATGACAATTAATCTTATTTGAATTTTCATTGATATATATATATATTAAAAAACCAATCAAACAAAATAATCAGCAACGAATCTAAAAAAGAGCTCAGCAAAAAAATCTTGAATATGGTATATATTGGTAGGAAGACTTGTATATTAATGTCAGTATAAAAATTTGGTTCCGGATTTAAGGAAACGATGTACCAATAAACCAAATATCTTAGATGAAATATGTTTTTTGGTCAAATAATGAAAATATATTATCTAACTATTGTTTGGTCAAATGAAAACGTAATAACGTAGATGTATGGATATTACAACACAAGTACATAGCTATCAATCCAGCAATAGAGTAGAAGAATAGTAGATTTGTGAGAATGTTTCATTTTCTTAGTAATGGCAATAGATAAGGAAACAACTGTTTTTGGTCCATACTCTTTTTCTCTTTTCTTTTCGTCGACCATGTGGAAAATTGATCTTCCAAGAGTTTCTTTATTACTTCGTTGTCCTATTTAATTCCGGTTGAGAATGTTTACATATTTAGTGTTTTATTGGTTTTTGTCTTTAGATATAGTTACAGATTTATTGGTAGCAGTAAATGTTTAAAACTTTTGAACTCATAGATAAGGCTTTATAAAAAAGTAAAAAAACGGTAAAAAGTTTTGAGGCCTTTATTGTATTATACCCGTTTTACCTAACCGGAAGCTATGGTAACCTAACACTAGTAATCAAGGTCAAAAGAACCTTTATACTAACAGAGAAACAAATCAAGTAAAGTGAAAATAAAAGGCAATAAGTATGATAACTGAAAAATACTCTTTTGATAGGTCACTAATCCTCTAATCGGACGGTTGAGATGAATGGAAGAGTTGATTATTCAGAGGGTCAAGAGGAGCCGCCACTAAGGAAAGATATAGTACTATAGTTGATCTATATATAAGTATATTTTAATGGAAAAAAAAAAAGTAAAAGTGTTGAGCCGAAATTAGGATGCAAAGGTATATATGCTATTTGAACGTTAAATGGTAGAGATTTGTGGTTATCATTGATGCACATTAAATTGTATTATTGATGTGGTCCAAATTCATGAGATTAAGGATTAAATATAGTAAAGAAGGATCAAAAGAAAGGATGATTAAAGAAGAGCGTTTATACATTGAACATGACAAGAATTTTGATTAATTTACTAGTTTATGCAAATGCTAAAAAAAATCTAAATTAAGAAGAAGAGTTACAAAATTGTGTTTTGGTTTATGGAATATTTCCAAAGTACTATACAAAGGCGTACTTTCTATAAAGCTGCCAAACGAAATTCTCCCCAACGACCGTTCTGCTCCAATTCTGGCTTCACATCCGTCTTAACCGGATAAAGTTATAAAGTCAACTGAATGCAAAAGCCGAGTGGGTCCTTTGTTTTTTTTGTTTTCTTTAACACCAAAGCACTCAATAATTGTAATTATTATCATGCTAAATCACAAATCAGCAATAGCTAAATTAAAGTGTAAAATCTATCAGAAATTGAGTGACTTTGAATGTGTAACTTTTTTATAAAAAAAAAAATATATCACAAGTCAGCCGGTATTAGTACTTCGATTAGATCTTGACAATTTGATAATCATCATTTTAGGTTCCTTAGAGATATTATCCGTCCTTGTGGTATGGTTTTAAGGAGTTGTAAGCTTCTCTCTTTTGGACTAATCGGTCATTCGTGTGGACGTTTGTCTTGGGTAAGGATAGAAGTAATACAACCATAGAGATGTAGGCAGTTGAGTAGCTTAATGAGACTTAGGTCCACAGTATGGGCTTCTTCATCAGCTACTATATATATATCTATTTTAATACATTCTCAATTCTATTTTTCCCAAAATCAAAATTCCCTTTAGTAATAATCAGCAGTTTTTAGTGGCCCTATATCTATCTATATATATCTGCTTCAAGGTCGGCTCTTTTCTTCTCATT